ACGGTGTCAGAGAAACCCACGTTGATCTCAGTTCACAGGCGATGGAGCATATCTCAGTCCACCACTCTAATCTTCGATAGGTTGGGTCGGCGAGCTATGAAGGGTGAAGGGCGAGGGGGCTCAAGGCTCGACGAAGTGATCCACGTGGAGGTAAAGACATCGGCGCAGCGGAGGTTCCAGACAAAGGATTAGACGCAGTAGGCGAAGACGTCGTTCCTATCGACTTTGGTAGCGAGGAGTATCAAAAAGAACAGAGATGGCTTACCCTCAAAAAAATAAAAAAATACAGAGATGGCTTAACATGGGTGATGATGTCGATGGGATCGGACGAGGCGAGGTTGTAGACGCAGCGGTGTGAGGTGCCGAAGGAAAAAAACCAGAAAGTACAGAGATGGGGAACATAGATTAGGCATTTTCTTTTTCTGAAGGTGAAAAGGAAATGATCAGATGTAACTGTCTTTATAACAATTTAGTGGGAAGAAACTAAAATTTTTAAAAAAATTAATTTATAGGGCAAGTAGCCAAAAAAAAATAAAAATAAAAACGGACTAAAATGAAAGGGAAAAAAAATTTGGAGAGAAAAACTGTAGCGACACTGTTATTATTCACACATTTTCGACTCAAAATGATGCCATTTTGGTCGAAGAAGTACGTAAAGAGTAAACGGGTTTCTTAAAATGACAAGAAAGAAAAAAAAAACATAAAAATAAAAAGTGAACATTGAAAATATTGTTTATAAAGGGGTGATTTTCGACTAAAATTTCGTCAATTTGGTCCAAAATAGTGAAACCTATTGACGTTTCTATATATTGTATATGGATACACGCAAATAATGGCATTTTAAGTTTGGGGTTGCTGTGCTTTTAAAATAATTGTTGTGTTTTTAATAAAAGTACTATTTTTACTTGAAGTAAAAGTAGAAGCAGAATTAGAATTTAAAAATTACAAATTTTAACTTTTTAAAATAATTTAAAAAATATATTATTTGTGTGCAAAGTGCTTTTGTACACCTTTATTAAACATTATAATTACATCGTTTATTGTGTAAAGTACTTTTAAGAGTTTCAAAAGCAATCTCAAATACACCCTAATAAATAATATATACACTCAAAAAGACAAAAGTAACATTCTCACTAAACTAATAAATAATCCACCTAGCTCGTATTAGAGATGCAACTATGGGCCGGGGTCCATGGCCGGTCCAGGCCCATCCTGTTATAGTGTCATGCCAAGCTAGCACAACCTGACAATGTTCATGGCACGCCCCAGCCTATCAATAATGGTGGGTTGGGCTGGGCTAGGCTAGCATTTTTCAGCCCATGGGCTGGCCTAGCATGACCCATGAAATTTTATGGGTCAGGTTGGGCCGACCAGACCCATTGTGGGCTGACCCATGTAAGACCCACTTAGTCTGGTTTATATAGACCCATTGGACCAGTCCGCCGAAGGCCTATTTTAACTTAATTATATATATTATATATATTTACTTATCTTGTAAATATATGTATGTACAATTATTATGATTGTACTCTTTTTTTTATCAAGGTTTTGTCCCACTGAATTTCTCTTAAAAAGATTTTTAATCAGTCAGTCGTAAATAATATCTCTTTTCATATTTCTATTAACTATTTAGACTTTTGTATTTGTTAATTTGTTTAAAAACTCAAAAAAAAATTTAAAATTATAAAATTGTAAGTAAAGATGTTCTGGCCCATGATGGGCCAAGATGGGCTTATCCATCATAACTCGTAGATGGACTAGAATGGGTTGGCCCGTTCACCGCCTAGCCTAAGCCACATAAATTTAACTCGTGGTGTGGGTTGGGCCGATGAGTGTTCTTATATGAGTCGGCCTGACACGACCCACTAAATTCATGGGATGGGCTAGCCTGGCCCGCGTGGGCCTTTGTAGACGGGCCGATACAGAGTTGCATCACTAGCTCGTATGCCGTATGATCAGAAAATGCTTTCTTCTAGTCCATAGCCACCACAAAATAAACTCACCGGTTCCGGCGTCGACGCCATCCCAAGTCCGAAAGCCCTTTGTTGTCGAGCGGCAATGCTGTTGTGCTGGATCTCCAACACCAGCACATAGTTCGTCATCGAGGAGACTGAGCATATTGCAATTGAGCTTCCTCATCGCAAGCCTAGTAGCCGGTCTCTAGTGTCATCTTCTCTCCTGAAGTAAATCACTGATTTATTAGAGTAAATTATCTCTAACCATAGGCCACCTACTTAAAATTGACAACCTTCGCCCATAAATTTTGGTTTGGTTGAAGAACCGGCCACCCAAACCAATTTCGCAATTATCATTGACTTAGATTATGTGATGATGATCATCTTCTTGCTTTTTCAATATGAGTTTACGCTATCGTCAAAGAAAAAGGAGTTTCCTTTTGGTGTCTCTTTGTCTTCTTTAGATAATCAAGGTTAATAACTCCCGTGTTTTCGAATACAAACATATTTTTATGGAATAAATTCCTGAATGGTCCCTGAATTATTCTCTTTCTAGATAGTCCCTGTACTTAATATTATCTCATAAATAGTTCATAAATTAAGAAAGTGTGTTATAAATAGTCATCTGTTAAGTTTTTAGATGGAAACCATTAAATTAAATGAAAGTTTATGGTTATTATGTTATTTTATAGGGTTAATAATATCTTTATACTCTTATTTGAAGGTCCTGAGTATTGTTCTCTTAAAATTAGTCTAATTTTTTTCTTGCTAAAATCAATCCTTAAGTTTCTTTCTCTATAAACATATAAAAATTTATGTCCCTCAAATGGAATATCAATTTCAAACAAAAATACAGCACCTTATATAGGTTGCCAACCATGATATTGTCTGTAATTAATATACCCAAAAAATATCAAATAAAAAAGACAGCTACAATCTGTTCCTTTTGGAAAAAAAACAAAAAAAACAAAAGAAATCAGTTGATCCTCTCTTGGCTTTGGTTCGTAAATCTAGGACTGCTTCCTTGCAGGTTGCTTCTTTTTACTACTGTTGATGGCAAAAAAGTTTGACGTCCAATTTTAAAGCCGAAAATTCTATTTCAAACAAAAAGAACATAATGCTAAATAAAAGTTTTAAATGCAACTAGAAATGTAATAATCCTGACATATATATAAATATAATTTTGATAAAAAAAGAGAAAAAAACAGAGCAATGTAGTTTCATTCCTTCATTAAAAAAAGAAAAAGCAGAGCAATGTGAGTCTTTTGTTCTCAAACCAGTGGACACAAAGTGGACCATCAGTTAGAAAAACAAAACAATCATAAAGCACTTTGATAAGTGCACTTAATATTGTTTTTGATTTATATAATATTAAAATATTTAAGTTTTAATTAAACAATTTCATTATCTTTATTTGAGATATTTTTAATTAAAATTTGTCTAGTTTTTACTTAATTATTGCAGATAAAAAGTAGTGTGAAAAGTTACACAAGAATAAGCCATGAAAGCCATATTTTTAGCCATTCTGGGCCACACAAGCCGATCAGGGAGAGAGAGCTGCGCCCCTTCAGCCGAGCCGCATGTACCCATCAGTCAACGCGGAAATCCGTGCCTAAATTCTTCCTGCCATCTCACGTTGCGCGCGTCACCAGTATGTAAGACCCCAGGGCACGCGTTTGCTCTCTGCGCAATCTCCAGCACGTCTGAGTCTCTAGTTGCGTGGGCCCCGCGAGTCATTGCGGCTCCTTGCTTGTCCACTAAGCGCGCGCCAACTGTCCACCGTGGACCCTGCGCTTGCTCACGCTAGCCTGGTTCTCACCTCTGCACGCGCCACCTACCAAACGTGGGTCCCAGCTGTCATCCAGCGTGACCGTGCCAGCACACGTCTTCCTCTCTGCGTGCGATACGTGTTTATGACTTCCAATCCCATTGCGACACATGTTTTCTATAATAACGTAAATTGTAACTACCGAGAGTGCTCCTAGGAAAGACTAGCTCTTGGCTCAATGAAAGCCTCCTAGATAGAGCAACGTTCCCATGAAAGATTGGTGGGGCGAGGCCCACTTAAGTACCAACATTTCTAAACAGAACTCGCTCAGATTGTACTTTCTACGTAAACACAAAATTATTCTCAAAAATAATTTTTATGTTTGATTGAATAATTTATGAAATGAAATCTAATCAATAGAAACTATTCCTAAAGTCAAAAACCTAAATCTACCAAATTATGAAATTCCTAAATTAAGAATAATCAATTAATTACGATCCTAATCACAATCCTTTGAATTAATGAAAACTATAAAAAAAAAATTAAATTAGGCAACAATATTATAGTCAATAATTAAAATATATAAATGGGAAACAAAATAAAATCCTAAGTTATCAAAAGTAAAAGATTACAAAATCAAATCACAATTAGTTGTAAAGTTAAAAAAAAGGAAATAAAATTAACAATAAAAATAAATTCTAAGAATGTGAGATTTTTTTTTTCAGCAACACAACTACGGAAAAAAAAAAAAAAAGGTCAGTACTACTAAAAAGGTAATTTTTTTTTTTTGGGTTTCGATTAAGGGACGAAAAAAGAAAAAAAAATGCAGCAACTATTAATTACTAGACACGTTAACTTGCAGAAAACTTTCCTTCTTTTTTATTTTATTTATTCCTATTTTTATTTAATGATTTGTGTAATATCATATATTTTCCTTATTATATTTGGGCAACTGTGCTTTCTTATTTTTTTTTTATTTTTCCATAAAAAGAAGTTGGATTGTAACTTGATATCGTATTCAAATTCAGATTTTTGTTTTTTGTTTTTTTTTTGTTTGCTAAAAATATTCAATTCGGATTTGATACCAAAAATATATATACAAGTTATCTTTCACTGATCTAATTAGCTATTTTTTTGAATTCTTCTTTCTCTTGAAGTTATCCCTTTGCACTCCAATTAGTTATTATTATTATTTGAGTCGTGGGTGAGGATAGAACTCAATTGAGAACAAACAAATATAGGGTTTCATGTATTAGGGTTTTGTGAATGAAATCAGCATGGATTGGTCAGAATTGCCGCAACACATTCTTCATCACATACTAAATTTTGTTCCCACAAAGGAAGCAGCTCGAACAAGCATCCTTTCAAAGACATGGAAAAGCACATGGGATTCACGCTCCAAAGTGGATCTAGATCTAAATATATTCGAGCCTTATGAAGAGAATTTCCCCGAATTCGCGAGGAAAACCTTGGAAAGGTACGTTGAACAAGGTCTTGGAGTAGAAAGTTTGAAGCTATCCTGGACGGCCTTGATGAACAATAATGACCATCAAATATTGGATTCAATGAAGCAGTGGATAGACTTTGTATTTGCCGCAGGTAACAACCTCAAACGACTAATGATCATCTCCGGTTCTCCGTACATGCTTAACTTGCGTGCTTCAAACACACTGGTAACGTTAAGTTTGTATGACTGCAAGTTGGAGAATAATAATATTTCTGAAAACATCAAGTTTCCAAGCCTCAAAAATCTCAATTTGCGATTCACGTCACTAACTTCAGATATTATTCACAAAATATTTCTCCGTGGATCTCCTTTCCTTAAGAGCTTCTATCTAATTAGTTGTGACGGGCTAGAAAGTCTTGTGGTTTCAGGTCTAGTTTGGATCACACATATTTTTGTCGAATATTGTCAGTCTCTCAGAAGGGTTGACATACAAGCACCAAATCTCCAATGTTTCTCGTTTTTTAACCGGTCAAGATTCCTTCAGAAACATGACAAGTGTGAGATTAATTTAGGCAATTGTGATGCGAGTTTGAAAGAACTGACACTAGGGACATTCGAATTGCCAAGTGATGATAAGTGCTGGCTTCAAAGTATGGTTTCTAGGTTTGTTTCCCTTGAGAGTTTGCATCTTTGCAACCTCTATAATGCTAACAAGGAAGCTATAAAGATTTCTAACCCAAGCCTGAGGAGATTAGTCATCAGAAACTGTACAAGCTTCGAGGATACCACTGTGATTAATGCTCCAAACCTGCGTTCGGTTGAGTTCCTTCTCAATGGGTATCCTTTCTATTCTCTGCCCAAATCAAATAAATTATCACTAGTGCAATTCTCTTCCGACCTCAATAATCAACCTGTCAATGCCATTTGGTTTCGCAAATTGAAGGAATTATTTGCCGAAACAAGTCATATGGAAGATACGCGCATGAGTATTCGATGCAATAAAAAGGTATATATTTTGTTAGCCTTATAATTACAATAATTATTTATTTATTTATTTATTGGAAATTTCATGTTTTTCTTGTTTTGATTTCTGATTATAACATTACTCTATTATAAGTACTTCTCTTATATTCTCACACATTTTACCTTCTGGATTTATTTATGAAGGCCAGTATTACCATCCTCCATGAGGATTTCAGTCATTTAAAGCTATGGAATAATATAATAGACAACCTTAAGTGTCTAAATCGGGGGTTGACATTTACTATTGAGAAGTCATCGTTGAGCTGGGAAGATTTGGTAGAACGCCGGACGCAGGGGTTGCTATTTATATAGCATCATCATCATCTCACAAAACCAACTTTAACAAGGTATGTACTACTTGCAATTTTTTTTTTTTTGGTTAAATTTGATTCCTCTTAAGGTTTACTCACTGCAACGAAATAATTTTTCTTTTCCCTTTGATTATAGGACGAATTTTATGAGAAGCTACGTATAGGATGGTCAAAGAGACCGAGGTACTTGCCAGATGCAGAACCGTATGACTTGAAGAACATTAAAATCGAGAGCGTAAATTTAGAACAAGACATTGATATTAGAGAAGACATTGATGCTGCACTTTTACAAGCATATCGAGCATTATCATTCAAGTTCACTAGATTAATTGACTTACCGTACTACAACAAAAGGTGCAGCGGCGAAATTGCAGCAGAAGAACATAGAAAAATACTTGAAGCAAAAGAACATAGAAAAATATTTAAGAGCACTATCGGTGCTAAACGTCACCGCTAATAGAAAATGTCTGCCTTTTATTAGCGGGTGCCCAATAACATTGCTTAAAAACATCTGCTCTTTGGTATCTCTCTCTAAAATAAAGCTTTTCTTTCTTGTTGGGATTAATCTTGGATTGATAGAGGTCCGAGCTTGGCTCAGAAACATTGGTCTCTCTGTTATACTTTTGATTATAACTTTGATTTTCTTTTTCTGTCTTTAATATTATATTAGTTGAGTCATGTGCTGCGCATGTAGGGAATAACTTTATGAATTTGATCCCGTGTTAAAACGTGTAGCTTTCTTAAGTCCATTAATTAGAGTAGGAGGAAAAAAATATTTCAAAAAATCACATAAAAAAAGAATCAAAGTTATATAAGAGTTTTAACCAAAAAAAAAAAAAAAAAAACTTAAGGTAGAGAGATATTTAAAAAGAATTATTTTAATTAAAAGAGAGAAAAAAAAGTATTTCAAAATAAGATATTATTAAAAAATAAACTGAAAATATTAGAGAAAAAAACAAAAAGAGGACAATTTGAGTAATCTGTAGGCTTCCCTGTCCATAGCTCTTGTGGGGTCTTGAAACTTATGGCCACAGAAGGTGATCTGTTGACTAAGTAACATGCAGTATGTACAACCTCTCTCCAAAAAATTCATTGACAGTTTACCATTTGATAGTAAACGCCTCACACGCTCCAGGAGTGTCTTATTCATTCTTTCTGCTAAACCGTTCTGTTAAGGAGTTTTCCTTATTGTCTTATGCCTTCTAATCCCAGCATCTTTACAGTAATTAGTGAAAATATATGCAAGGTACTCTAGACCATTGTCGGTTCTTAGGTTCTTGATCAGTTTAACACACTGTTTCTCGACCATGGCTTTCCATTGCTTAAAGGCTCTAAAGGCTTCATCTTTAGACTTTAACAGATAAATCCAAACTTTTCTGCTGTAATCATTAATAAAGGTTATGAAGTACCTGTTACCCTCATGTGAAGTTACTGTGGTTGGTCCCTAAAGATCTGAATGGACATATTCAAGGACATCTGTTGTTGTGTGGGCTGCACTGCTGAACTTTACCCTTTGTTTCTTGCCAAAGACAGAGTGCTTACAGAATTCTAGTCCTCCTAGCTTATCTTTGCCCAGCAGCCTTGTTTACTGAGTTCTTGCAGTCCCCTTTCATTGACATGACCCAGTCTTCTATGCTACAGCCTTGCCTTTTCAAAACTAGTGGAAATTACAGCCTCAACTTCACCAAGAATTGTATTTCCTTGCAAGATATAAATGCCATTACTTCGAATCCCCTTTATAATAACCAGAGAGCCCTTGAAGACCTTGAGAACTCCATTCTCAGCTTTCTAAGAACAACCAAATTCTTCCAACATACCAAGAGAAATCAGATTCCTCTTCAATTCTGGTACATGTCTCACCTTGCTATGAATCCTCTCAATGCCATCTTCCATTCGAATCTTAATGCTACCAATCCCTGCCACTTTACAGGATGTGTTATTTCCCATAACTACACTGCCCCTTTTCAATTCTTAATAAGAACAAAACCATTGTCTTGAAGGAAATACATGGAACGTACATCCTGAGTCCAAAACCCATTCAGATTCTGTTTTCTTGCTTGAAACAAGCAATGCATATGCAGACTCATAACCATCTGAAATCACTGACACATCACCTGAATCAGAATCACCTGTCTTCTTCTTGTTCTTCTTTCTTTCAGGACAGTCACGTTTAAAATGTCTTTCATTGTGGCAATGATAACATTTTTGGTTTATCTTGGATTTTGATCTATCTGGCCATCCTCTTGTATTGAGTCCTTCGCCATTGTTCTCTTCCTTTCCCTCTGTCTGTTTCTTCAGTTCCTTCGAGATTAGGGTAGATTGAACCTCTTCCAGCGTCAACAAGTCTCGACCATATACCAGAGTGTCATGTAGGATCTCGAATTCCGCCGGCAGAGATCTTAAGAGAGCAGCGCCTGGTCCTCGTCCTCAATCTTGATCTCTATATTCTCCAGATCAAGAATTACTTTGTTGAACTCGTCGAGATGATCTTCGATTGTTGAACCTGGTTGCATCTTGAATGTGTATAATTTATGCTTTAGGTGAAGACGATTTACCAAGGATTTCGTCATGTACAAATCCAAGCATTGTACGCCTTGTCAAGAAGATCTTTCTTCCCCTTATCTGTCAGAGAAGTTGTCATATTCTTCTCTCTACCTAGAGCAGCTTCAAGACCTTGATGAACAAAAAGAGCTCTCATCTTCAATCTCCATAGCCCAAAATAATTTTTGGCATTGAACTTGTCGACGTCGTATTTCGCCAGCTCCATTATAGTGGCTCTGATACCACTGTTTCTCACTCTAGAAAACTCTCGTACCTCTCTCTGTTTCTCTCCTTTATACACTTTTCAGAAAGAATAAAAGAGTAAAGAAAAATAGTATATTGCCACTTGCCCACTAGCACTAATCTGTTCCAATAAATAATTGGAACTTACACTAGAAATGATTATTCTAACCCTACAGAGTAATATCTAATCTTTATAGATTCAATCTTTGTTTGCCACCTGTCATAACAGCTAGGAAATTCTTTAGGGTCTGAAACATCATCAGACTCCCAGCGAATCGGCCAACTCCATCCGAACCATAAGGACCTAGCAACAACAACACAGTCCCGAAATAAATGCATCACAGATTCCACTCCCACCCAGCAAAGAGGACAACTAGTATCTGAAGCAAGATTAAGCCTAGCCAATCTCTGCCTTGTAGGAAGAATATCATGCCCCATACGCCAAAGAAGAATCTTCAACCGTTCATGAAGGGCAGTCTTCCATAAAGAGCTCCACACCGCATCCGTTTGCAATCCAGTAAGCACCCCTGATTGAAAATTTACCATTTTTAGCATGTTTCCAGCATAGCCGATCAGACAGAAGATCTCGGCGGCGAGAATGGATGGAAGACTCCCAAGTCGAAAAGTATGGGCATCGAAAAGTTGGTTCATTCTTTGTGACTCTCTTCGCAAGTAACTCATCAACTGTCAACTTATGCTCACTATCACAGTGTCACTTTATAAAACGTATATAATATTATTAGCCATTCGATATATAAATTTTTCTTTTTTAAGCCATAGTGAGTCTGAAACATTATACGTAGTTTTAATTCAAAGTGATCGTTCCTATATTTTTATAGTTTAAACTCGGTGATCCAATTTTCTCCATTAAAAAAACGGAAAAGAAAAGTGATTTAGATTTTAAGATTTGGTTAATCTTCTTAGTTCTTCAAGATAATTAGTGTTCAACTTATTTAATCAAGAACGTTGTGTTCGGATTTACAAGGGTGTTGTCGTTTTTTGAAGATGTCAATTGAATCGGTGTAGCAAAAGTCGATGTAGCAATTCAATTGCTCGTTTGATTGGTCTATTAATTTTTTATGTTATAATCAAGTTAATTTAGCATTACTCTTATATTTTTCTTGTCAAATTCAAAGCGAAGTTCAATTTGTTGATTATGGATAATTAACCCTTACATCTTAACAAATGGCATCAAATCAAGTCAAATTTATGTGAAGCATGCATGTCAGCTTAATGAATTGGTTCAAGTCGATTGACAAAAATTGTGCCCTAATATACAACACTTGGCTTTGTTTTTGTTTGATGTTAGATTTCAAGTATGAGGATCAGTCTTGGAGGTGACTGAAGAGGCGTATGAGAAATGCCACTCCTCACATCCCGATTTCTTCTCCAACAATGGTACGTAACACCGTCTTCCATTTCGACCGAGCAGGCTTATTCTACTTCATCAGCGGCGTCTCTGGGCACTGCGAGAGAGGGAAGAAGCTGATGGAGCTGACAAACCCCATATCAGTCAGCTGCAAGCCAGAATTCAACAAGGCAGTGCTATTGGAACCTTTGCCATTTCTTCTACTACTATTGTTCTATTTTTAACGTCTTTTATTGGAGTCCTTTTTTATTTTTATTTTTAGATTCAAATAAGAGTGGCTAGGGCTAGCAAGTAAATTTTTTGTTACATGTTTTGTTAATTCTAGTAGATTCTTTAGGGCTACGTGGATAATATTAGAGAATATTAGACCAAATTTACTATATTTTTGGAATATAATAAGCTTTGGACTTGTGAATGTTGGTATGTATAACTTATTTTGTTCATCGGTATGGATACGTATTAGGGTTGTATAAGGTTGTCAATTATAATCATTATTCTCTGTTACAAACATATTGTTTGGCAAAGACCTTCGGCGATTCCCTCAGCTTTGAAGCTAATATGCAATCAGTGAGCTAAGATCGCTCGATTTTCTTTCGAATCTTCACTAAAGAGAGGAAGCGAGAGAAAAGGTTTGAAATGAGAAGAGAGAACGAAAAATCTATCGATTTAGAAAGAAGTATAAGAATACTTCTATAAGATATTTAGTTACTTATAACAACGTGGCCAAAGTCCAAACTTTATGATAATTTTTACATAAAACATCAACTTAATATTATTATTATTATTTTTTTTTTAAAAATCACATGTAATTTTTTTCCACATAAAAGTTTTTTGAGTTGGGCACATAAAAGTTGTTTGAGTTGGGAAAGAGTGCTTTTGTCGACGCACTAGGTTTATCATTCCGCTTATAAATTTTACTAAAATTGGCATATAAAATAATTACCTAATTACTAAAATGTTGTTACAAAAAAATAATTGGGTAAGTGATATGTTCAAAAATTAGTAAGTGCACTTAAGTAATTGGTTATTCGCATCCATACCTATGAATTTTGGGGTCATTTTCACTTTGTTACATGAATTTTAAAAATTCTCACTATACTACCCTAAATTTTAAATTTCTCCCACCTTGCCCCATCCATTTCAATTACCATAAGAAGAAGACAAAAATCAAGCAGGTCTCTCATTTGTTGCATGTGTGAGGTTAAATTTATCATTCTTTTTTTTTTTAATCAGGAATTTTGTTTTTTTAATGGTAAAGCCCAAAATACTTAAAACCTTATCAGATTACTTTAAATGGCCTCAAC